CGCGCCCGGCGCGGAGGGCCCCGGGGCGCCGGGGGCTGCGGGGAGCTGCGCTGCCTCCCCAGGGGATTAAAATCCCTCTGCCGGGCTGCGCTTTCTGCTTTGGGGGTTGTTGGGGTTTTTTCCTTCTTTAAATGTCGAGATTTGGATGAATTAAAAGTGAAATGTAACAGAGGCGGTTTTGGCGAACGGCACGGTCTTTGAAAGACGACAGGAAAAACAAAAGGCGACAAACTCGCGTGGCCTTGCATTCTTCTTTTGTAGTGATCTGGGCAGTGTGTAAGTGCGTAGCTTCGATCACTGCTGAAAGCCAAAAAAACAGATCAAAAGCGGATCTGCTTTCCCGTTGGCAATGAACAGCTCTTCGTAGCATGGTGTCTATCCACTGCGCCGTAGCCGTACGTTAATTACCCTCGGCAGAAACGCTGGCATTTCCATGGCAAGTCTATTAAAAATGGCATCACCGCCTGAGAAACACAACTCCTTTCAATGAGTTGAGATACTGAAACAGTGACAGGTATTTTTACCGTATTAAGTGCTTCATTTAAAAAAAAAAAAAAAAGCGTGTAAGAAAAAATAATTCTTTGATCGTCTACGTGCAAGTCTATACTTACCGGGCAAGATCATCCTGTTCATTTTCAGCAGAAAACAAGAAGGTAAATTGGGAGTAAAACTTCACAATTCGATATGAACGGGATACTGAATGGATTTTCCTGTTTTGTAATATTGTACGTGTCTTTTGCAGGGTAAACTTTTTGACTCTACAATAACTGATGAAGGAACATGGACGTTAGGTAATAACCTACATCTGCAATGACATTGTGAGGGCAGTAGAACTTCTCAAAAGATGCTGCAGATTTTCCCCCTTTTTTTTTAATGGGAAAGATTACTTTCTTCTCTGTACATAGCTTTGTAAAAAAGACGATCGTTATTGCCAGACTAAGGAACTGAGGTAGTACAAAAGCCCTAGCGATTAAGGTTAATGGGAAAATGCCGTATCTTGGAAGGCAGTAGTCGATGGATCACAAACACTTCCATATAGTGAGAAGTTTTTGGCAAACCCTCATTAAAGCCAGACAACTACGGTGGAGTTATGTGGTCTGCGCCTCTGCATAATTGTTACTTTTCTTGTCTTTTGTCCTTCTTTTATGCGTTATATTTTTGGGATGGGTGACAAAACCTACAGTCCAAGAGAATCAAAATGCAATCTAAAACTCACGCTAAGGTACCTACAGATAATGAGCGAAGAAAGCTTCTCTGATCATTACTTCATAAATATTGTAAAGTGTTCAGAATATTCTGGGTTTTGGCAATCATATTTGTGGACTGTGCCTCTCACTTAATGTTTTCTTGTCGTGGTTTTTGTTTTCCATTCAATATTTATTCTAAATATTGATTAATAATTTAGTTACTTAAACATGGAAACTAGAAGTGTAAACAAACATTGTGAAGTGAAGCCTACTCTTTTCCAGTACGTGAATAGTCTTCAAATTACACTTTGTAACACTGTATTTCCTTAGTTAAGTAGAACTAAACATCCTACATGTTAACTTTGAAATGTACTTCCAATATATTGTCTATAAGCGTACTGTCGGTGTTTAAATAAATTGATTATACCTCCATATGTCGCTAAAACTTAGTTCTGGCTTTTATTGGTAATAACCCTCTGTAAAGCCTGACCTCAAATCCTTCATTATTGCCTTAGCTGAGCTGTATATATTAATAGATTACATCTTTTCTCTGTTGTGAACCTCACTAAAAGGATAGTTTATGTTTGCAACAGAAGTACTTACGAACTGTGTTTTAATCCCTTAAAACAGCTTCAGCATTTTTACAGGCCAGAAAGGGGAGAGGTGGCTGTACAGGCTATCTTGGCTTCAGCCTTTCTGTTTCTTGTTAATGTTTGTTTATTTATCGATAACCCTGTTGGCATTGGCATTAAGAATTTAAATTACTTCATCAAAAAAATCCTGTGCTTGTTAATGGTGAATTCATCAAACCAACAATAAAGAAGACTAGCACATAGGACTGAGTTTAGTGGTTGTGTTATGTGTCTGTTTTCATGCAACAGAAGACAGGAAGCTCATACGAATTGTTCTAATGAAGACAAATCGAGATGCTGGAAACTGTTGGACGTCTCTGTTAGAAAATGAATACGCTGCTGATCCTTGGGTACAGGACCAGATGCAAAGGAAACTTACGCTGGAGCGATTCCAAAGAGAGGCAAGTTAAAGGACCATAGTTACTCCTTATATTTTATGTTTGCACATGGAGGTTATGGCCATGAAAGCTGAGCAAAATTGTTCTGCTGTCCAGTGCCATGGAAACATATACTGTAGTTTAGTATATATATAGAACGCTCACGAAGTTTTATCAGTGTGCTTTCGAGAGGTTATTCTGTCTGTAGTCTGCCTGAAGGTTTTGTGAGAAGTTAAGATGAGTTTGGGGCGGGTATTGCTGGTTTAGGGTTTGTTGCGTAATACTAACAACTTTTCACTTAAGTTAGGCTACACACAGTTTCTATTACTATCTGAAATTATGACATGGCCATATTGTCAACAAACTTCTAACACCAAGCTCTATTGAATACATTTGTTTATAACATCGCACGATGTAGAATAGTTAGCTGGAAAATATTTTCCTTGCCCTTTTACTGAATTTGCTTAAATTGTTTTGGTACACCTTTAGCATGCAACTATTCCTATGCAAGTCTGCAGAGTTGTAGAATCACAACTTATTACTTAACAGCTGAATCAGCACACTACATACTGCAACAAAGAACAACATTTTTATGAAACTTGTTATCCACCGTGGCAGGTACTTATATTTTCAAATAGTAATTTCAAGGGACACCAGGAGACAGAAATTTTTCTTAAACTTTCCTTAATATTTCCTTACTGGGAGACCTAACTGCTTGCCAAATTGAGAACAAAGTCACGTCAGCAGCAGGCAACCACACTATGACAATTTAAGGTTTAGTTGTTGATGCGTTTTCCAAGAATTTTAGTGCCATGACAAATGGATGACAAGCTGATGGTTATATGTCCTTGTTGCAATGGCAGAATATTAACAGAAACAGTTTTGGGCTCTTTGTTTGTTGATTGTTTGGGGGTTTTTTTAACAAAAAAATTTTTTATTATCTATTAAACTTTTCTCTTACCTCCATCAGAACCCTGGATTTGACTTCAGCGGGGCAGAAATTTCTGGAAATTACAGTAAAGGAGGACCAGACTTTTCTAGTCTTGAAAAGTAAACTGTTTTTTATCTGTGTTCTTTGAGAGGAATTACACATTACACTTACAGATTGGAATCATGTGACTGGTGAGGACTTCAGTGATCTCTTCAGCGGATTGTTGTCAAGTAATTACTTCAGTGAAGAGAAAGAAGATGTCTTCCAGTAGAATGAAGACAAAGTGTTACCAGCTGATTTATAAGCTGTGATAACTTTCTAATACTAAGGGACAAACTATAGAGAAAGGTGTACACAAAAAAGTAACACCTTTAAGCAGAATGTTGGTTTTGGTGTTTTGTTTGGGGTTTTGTTTTTCAGAAACACCATAGTAAACCAGTCAGTTATAAATCTACCACTTGTCTTTATGCAAGAATATCTTATTCACTGTTGAAGAATAAATCTTATAAGCAAGATATTTAATATTTTCTCTTAACTTGCAACAGGAAGGGTATTAGGATGGCTACAGTTACACTTTCCCTCTGTAGCAGCCCTCTGAGAACTCATAAATGTCATTCTAAAACAGCCTTTTAAATAAAGAAACTACTGCACCCTGCCTCAAATAATGTTTTACAATCCACTGTGCTGTCAAATATAGCACTAATGATTAATACTTGCTACCAGGTAAGCGATACTAGAAAACTGAAAGGTCAGGTGAAAGTCTGGATATAAATAATTTTATGTGTTAATGTAATATAGCCTTTCAGTATAAATATTTAAGATTTTGAAAGTAAGAGAATATAATGACTTTTGAAAGGAATGTGAAGTCCTGAAGTAGGAAATGGTATCTTGCATCTATTCATTACCAACATACAGCACAAGTTGTTGATAGTCTATCTAAGAAGCTCTAGATTTTTGTAGAGAGCTTTAAATTTAATAGCCACATTTTAAACTCAGTTATTGAATGATATAATATTTTGCATGTGTCAAATATGTATCAGGAATTTTCTACTCATTGTTAAGGATGCAGCTGAGAAGCACTCCAACCACAGCATTATACAGGATGAATGCTGGGTCAAACAGACTAATGGAGGAAGAAAACACGATTGCCAAATCCTATTGTATTCTGAACTCTGAAACTACTGCCTATACTTCAGTCCTAAGCAGAAGTCTCACTGAAGATGAATTGCCAGCACCTGTCCATCATACTGCT